ACACAATACAAAAAAATATAATTGGGACACTAGATAATGCACAATTTGATATCACATTGAAAAGAAAATAGCAACGTAATGCGAAGACCACAACACCAATTTTAGCACATGCCCTTGACCTCTAAGACGGTGACCCCTATAAACCACCTGTATGTCTTTCATTAACACGGGGTCTCAGATAACGGTGATGTCTATGAATTATCCAAAAGATCTATTTTAAAACGTAAGACTAATTCCCTGGACACATTTTAAACGTAGACAGAAACCTACATGATAAGGGTAACGGCAATCCCCCCCCTCCCTCAGGTTAAGTAAAAATTAAAGCTTTGACAATACATAAAGTTCAGCCTAGATTACAGCCAAGGTACCGTTTTGCTGTATAAAAAACTCTTCTGGCTCACCAAGTCAACGAGTATAGCCTTGAGCTCCACACTAACTCCACCATCACAAGGTTGACCTATAATCTTCCGCTGTGACCTTGACCTTTGAGTAGAGGCGATAGTTTTTGTTTTGTTTTTAACGCCGTCTGATAATGGTTCATATATAACCTTAACATGTGACCTTGAACGGGACAAAAACATGACCTTGAACTGGACAGAAAAAAAAACCACTTTAAATTTGGCACTGTACACCTGGTCTAGTGACGAAGACCCGATACAGAGCGACGCTTAAAAAAAAAACTTCTCAACAGCAACGATATTCCTAGTATAGATTAAGTGAGAATTATTATAAGATACAACACAATAATACCTTCAATTTACATTCCTGCTATAGATAATACAACAAATTTACCCATGATGGACCGGTACGTGCGATGTGTGTGGTGAACGAACGAGTACAACAACCCGCCGCGCAGCCATGACTCACCAACCCTCATTCACCCACACCGTCAGTATCAGTATGCAGGAGGAGCCGCGGCGTGAGGGATGAACCACGTTTGTATATATGCACCTCATGTCCATTTCTTCCTCACCATTGGTTATTATGATTGGTGTACATCGGTAATCCCTCCTCTTATTCCAGGAACATTAAATATAATCCTTAGTATATATTAATGAACCCAAAATTGTATCCAACCTTTATCCTTTCATTATTCTTATTATCCTATGACCTGCTTTATTCACCATCCTTCAATTCTCTCCTCTTCAGTGATCTACTTTCTCTCTTCTCTCTCTCTTAGCTCAAACTTTCTATTTTACTTTTCTGTCCTTTGATTTCCTCCTTTCTCTATACTGTGCTAACCTTCGATCTTCTTCTTCACCTTTCACATTATGTTCTGTTTATCATGATATTTTCTCTTTTTTTTTTTAACCTTACCTTTCTACTCAAGTTTATTATCCTGTTGCCTTATCTATTCTCTTCAAACTCTTCAATATTCACTTTATTTTATTATTTCCTTATGATGCTTTTACTATCCCACTTTCTCTTTATGCATTATCCACCTGCTTTCTCTTCTGTTTTATGTCATACTTTTATTCTGTTTTAAGTCTACTGTCCTTTTACTCTCACCTTTGTTATTATTGCTATTCCCACGTTCATTAAACAGCACCTATTTTTACCTATTTATCTCCATTTTGCTTTCACCTATGTTTATTTCCCTTTATACTGTGTCTATTGTTTATTCTTGTCCCCTATTTAGTCTTTAATTAATCATCAATGTTTATTATTAGTGTTTATGCCATTACCCATATTTACTAATTTTCTCCTCCATTGATGTTTATTCACCTACGTCAACATTTAGTCCTTCTATCAATGTTTACTCACTTTTCTTCTTCTTTTTCCCACACTCCCATTAAGACATTCTAAATCCATCTAAGTTAAATTTAGTGGGGTTTTTTTTATTACCTATACTACAGTGCTTCTACATTTAGTCATTGTACAATCACCCATGGCGGCAGTCTACTTTCTCCACTGTTTGTTATACTGCTTTTTTCTCTCCACCCTCCGGTTCATCCTCTCACCAAACTCCTTAAAGAACATTCACACAACCAGTTCCTCCCAGCATCAGTGTGTGTGTGTGTGTGTGAATGCAGTCCTGACGTGTTTTAACTCGTATTTTTGCGTTAGAGGTGATGGTTTTCGCAAAGTATTTTATATTATGATGTAAACTATTATAATTTCCGAGACCTTTATATAATAATTTCGTGTAAAGTGACATTTCTTGATATAAAAACTAGCTGGTTACCTAAAGACTCCGCCTCCTTTCCACCCCAGCTTATTGCACCTGAAAATTAACAGGTGGGGATCAGGTTAGACTGGTTAATCTGTCGGTGAAATATGATTGGGCTAATCTTCAGGTGAGGTAAGCTAGGGGCTACAGATGAGATAAGCATGGGGACTACAGGTGAGATACAAAAGGGGACTACAGGTGAGATAAGCTGGGAACTACAGATGGAATAAGCTGCGGACTACAGGTGAGATAAGCTGGGGGACTACAGGTGAGATAAGCTGGGGGACTACAGGTGGGATAAGCTGGGAACTACAGATGGAATAAGCTGCGGACTACAGGTGAGATAAGCTGGGGGACTACAGGTGAGATAAGCTGGGGAACTACAGGTGAGATAAGCTGGGGGACTACAGGTGGGATAAGCTGGGAACTACAGATGGAATAAGCTGCGGACTACAGGTGAGATAAGTGGGGACTACATTGAGATAAGCTGGGGACTACAGCTGAGATAAGCTGGGGAACTACACAGATAAGCTGGGGACTACATGTGAGATAAGCATAGGGACTACAGGTGGGATAAGCTGGGGACTACAGGTGAAATAAGCTGGGGGACTACAGGTGAGATAAGCTGGGGGGGACTAATCTTCAGGTGAACCAAACTTGCCCTACCTTCCCTCAAATTACATTTACAAATGACTTGGCGATCTTCTCCCCTATTCACAAACTACACCAATCCATTTCGAGCAAATTTTTGAATATTTTCCCTCAAGCAATTCTATTCCAGCGGTGTTCTCGTTTCAGCACAAGTTACACCAAATTTCGCATTATTTCACACTTCTCCATCCCCCCCCCCCACACAAACTATAGTTCAGTGGGGTAATAAGGTCTAATGGCTTGGTTGTTAGAGCAGCGTTACACTCTCTTAAAATTACCCCTGAGGAGGCAGTAAAAGGAGCGTTGTTTCTGTGGTGTAAATAACATGTATCATCCAGACTTCTAAAACTTCTACTGAATACATCTTTAGGAGGCTGCCCAATGACTAACTAGCACCTATAACTGGACACAATAGGAGGGATAAAATAGGTATATTTTCCTCCTATTTTGCTTGGATAAACATACAGGGTGTCTCAAAAAATCTATACAAAGTGTCTAACAGGTTTTGGTGGGGATGGCCTGGATGTTCGTATTATAACAGCAACATTGTCCTCACTTGTTGATGTGTGAGATCTCCAACAACAAGTCAGGACGATGATGCTCTTGTGATAAGAACATTCAGGTGATCTCTACGAAAATCTGTTAAGCACTTTGTATACATTTTTTGAGACACCCTGTATGTATATCCAAGCAAAATAAAGGAAGATGTACCTATGTTATCTATCCTACCGTACCCAGCGTGATAAGATGTACCCAGGCCTTGATGGTGATGTCATGGGCAGCCTCCTAGATACTCTCTGAAAGGCTTACTGGTACGTCAACGTGTCCTTTATAACCTGTAAGTAATGTTTCGGGGGCTTGGGAAGGCGTTATGTTCACGGGTATAAGACACAAGCTTAGTTTAGTTTACCATACCGGCTACACAAACTCCCACAACAACAAAAAAAAGACGAGATCGTATATATTCATGGTATGTAAATAATGGATCGAGAAAATCCACTCCCCATCTATTTCGGTGTGCAGTATTTATGTCGCTAATCACGATTCCATTCCACACGCATATTTTGCTTCTACGAATTACCGTTATTTACGTAACTCCAACACTTTACGCTCTCTACATATTTTCAAAAAACATAGTGGACACATTATCAGGACGAGTGACATTATCTCACTAGCCTAGATGTGTTGGCGTTGAGTGCTGGCGATATTCAGGAGTCCAAGCTTTTAACATACGGTAACAAGGCTTAAAATGTCAGTCTATCAACGTCATGTAATCAATACGGAGGAGTGGAATCCCTTTAAATTCAATCGATCAACTCCCCCTACGCGTGGGGAGAGAGAGAACGACCGGATACCATGTGGGACGGAGAGTTAAATAATCGACACAGGATCAGATTCTTTTAATAACTCCAGCAGCGGCGGATCTACCTAGGGAAACAAGGGGGAAGGGAGGAGATGTAGTGGAAGAAATGGGGGCTAGGTGGGTGGAGGACTAGTGGAGGGAACGGGGGCTTGTGGCGGGGGTCTAGGGGTGGGGTGTGGCTAGGATAAAGTTGAGGGCCAGGGGGGCTAGGATCAAGTTGAAGGTCAGGGGGGTTGGATCAAGTGGAGGGCTAGGATTAGGCGAGGGCTCGGGTACAGTTGACGGAAAGATGGTCAGGACGCTTGGGTGGCTAGAGGGTAGAGAGGGATGAGGTGAGACAAGGTACTAATATCCAGGAACAAGTAACCATCCTCTTCGCCACAGACGGAAAGGTTCGACAACTTGACGACAACTAATAAGAAACAATGTCCTTTGTTCTGCTCCGGCACATTGTTCATCTTGCTTCTATACACTGTACTGTATTAGCCTACCTACACTGTCTTCAATGACCCTTACATAACTGAAACACAATGAATCCCTAATAAAATAACTCCAATATGATTTAAGTATCGCTTAAAGGCTCCCAAAAATGGCTTAAAATATAGTCAAGATGGTTCATAATTACGCCAAAATTACTTAAAATCACGCCAGATTGGTTCATGTAGCCCAACATAGGCGTGAGATAGCAACAGCCTGTCAATTACTCTCAAAATGGAAGCACTGGACATTTAACCTTTAATTCTTAGTGGGTGGATGCACAGGGCACTTAACCCTCACAGCTAAGAGAACCTGGCGCCGACTACTGTGGCTACTCACCCTTCTGGTGGCTTTACTGTAGATCTTCATAATGGACGTCATGTTGATGTTGTGATGCCAGTCCCTTTCTCACCAAGATGTCCCCTACAACACGAGGCTCACCCCACTCTACCTTCTCTCGCGGTACACAACATTCTTCAGCGTCGTAGTGTCAGGACTTGTACACAAACTCACACACACACCGAGCGACACACTTTGGAAGGTCTGCTGCTCCCTAAAGGCCAGGCGCCACTTAAATAAAAAAAAATCCTGGTGATTGTTGACCCGGCTCTACACTGTCGACACTTGATGTTGATGTCTAAACAACCAAGTATCTGATGAGACTGTCTTCACTGTCTAAAACTGGTTAAATAATCTGTTTTTATATTGTTTCAGTCACTTCATCCCATTGTTTACACTGCCAAGAGTCAAAGTTTTTCTCTTGTGTTCCTCAGCGCCTCTTCCCTACCGCGCCTCAGGAACAACTGTCTGCCAGTCGAGGTAGTTGCTCGTGCAAGAAGGGCGTTTCCGGAGAGAGAGAGAGAGAAAGATGTTTCCACGGGTGGTGAACTCTGCGACGACAGCCTCGAGTGCTCACCCCTTCAGCGTTCCCAGCCTAGTGGTATCGGAGGACGAGGGTGTGTTGCGGTCCCCTAAGTCCAACATCTGTGGCGAAAACTTCACCAAGGGAGAGAAAGCTTTGCTGCCTTGAAGTACGCCGCTTCAGCCGCTCTCAACTAGGCGTTTTACTCATCTTTTACCGCCCAACACGCGTTAAAATATATCGCTTGAGGGAAGCGACAACCAGTTCGCTCTATGTACAGCTGACGAGGTGAAGTGTTGGAGATTTTGGATGCCGTGGTAAGAAAGGAGGCATACGTGGTGTATGTCGGGAGGAGAAAGCTCCTTACCCCCACACCTGGGTGTCGCTGTGCCAGTTATTACCTTCCCTTGGTACCTGCCACCGTCCTTACCTCCTCCTCACACCTCGATACAATATTAGTTAGCAAATGATTAGTTAGGATTTTCGTAAGCCTGTCTTTTGTTTTCACACAATATCAACACTTTGTTATAAAAGTTTCAACAAAAGTACTGACTACGTATGAATCAAACAGCTCTAAATGTCAGTGACCAAACCACTCGTAGATGAAACCAGTTTTAGCAATATTTACCATAGCTTTTCTCAGCACCGCCACAAGTAATATTATCCGGCACACCAACAACAAATTGCCTTTTCAAAGGAAAACTCATATAGTCCGCTCACGACACACCGCTATACCCCCTCGCACCCAAACACACACTGAACCCTACGCGTCCCACCTGCCAACAAGTTACCTGCGCCAATGTAGTAAGCACGTTACCAAATCGCAAAATACTAAACTCTTTCTCCATCCTATATGTACAGTATATACCAATAAAGTCAATCACATTTATTAATAACCAAATCTGTACATTTTGAGGGCAATTCGAAGGAAACATTAATCTATAAATAACTTAAAAAATTTATATTAAGGCCAGAGAATAAATACTATCCAGCAACAGTGCAGCCCACCTCGCGTCCGAACACGTGCACGCTGATGCCGCCAGTGACTTGCACGCCACAGTAAGTAGGTAGCTTGCGTGAGGCCGCAGGCGAAGGTAGGAGAAGGTCGAATCTATGATGAAGAGGAGGAGGTGGGGGGTAGGGAGGAAATGAACTAGATAATAATACTAATAGGACAAAGAAGAGGGCGGAGAGTAGAGGGCGAAACAGCAGATATTAGTACAGCTGCTGCTATTATTGTTCATTAACTGCTGACGTCATTACCCCAGGACCTGTTACTCACTGCTCCAGTTGTTGCTGCTCCTGTTCAGAGTTCTACCTCTGTTGAAATTAATGCCGTTTACTGGTACTGTTGATACTTCTACCGTTGTTGAAGTTTTTTATTCTTACTGTTACTGAAATCGTTCTAATACAGTATTTCCTAACTAACCTTTGAATCAAATTCACTCAGGCCGCCGCTTTCAGGTCTGACAGACATAGACCAATGTTTAGAGAGCAGGAAAATGTGCAGTTAACGTAATGAAATAAACACAGACAAGTTATAACAGGATAGGCAGAGCTGAAAGATGATTTTCTTTAGGGTTGACGTCAGGAAAATGAAAAAGAATTACTTTTATAAGACTGTAGTAAGATGAGGTAAAATTTTCCTGGCGGATTTATTTAAGGAAAAAAAGATAATAATATGTTGGATAAAATTTTCCTTGTGGTTTATTAAGGAAACATAAGGTACAGCAAGTTAAAGTTAGGTAAGATTTTTCCTTGGGGGTTTGCCGAAGGAAATTAAGAAAAGGAAACGTTAAATACCGCTAGGTGAGGTTAGGTAAGATTTTATTGCCTCAACTGTAACCCAAAAGTTTCACAACATTTGCAACCCACAAGTCCAGTCCAGCCCAGTCCAGTCGCCCAGCCCAGCCCAGTCGTCCAGCCCAGCCCAGCCACATCCTTACAACAGTCAATCGTAAGGACCAAAGAATCTCAAGGACCAGAGATATATTCTGTAGGTCAATAAACATTATAAATTAGACTTCACTTTGGCACAACTTGAAGACACATACCCACACCATATGTCAACACAAACATACAGACACTACTTTTCCATTACTTGTAGATGGGGAAAATTGAGTTCATACTTTTTCCTCGTGACTTGAAGCAGAATCTGTCGTGACGCTTGTTGTAGGGGCGGGGGTGGGGGGGGGGTGGGGGGTGGGAGGGAGAGATTTCTCATGTGATTGTAAATGAGGGCTGTCTACTGTGTTATATTCCATGTGACTCTACAACTTTCTCATTTCCATATTCATTTTTTTTACTGGATACGAAAAAAACCCCACGTAAATGCCACTTTTCCTAATTGAACAAAACACTAATTGTCACTGATTTTATTTCTTTGTCTTTCATTTTTGCCTTTTCTTGAATTTACCAAGATGATTTTTCAGGTATTTTATTTCCTCAATTGATGTCTATTATATTGAGTCCTATTTTCTTCATAATTATATATATATACATATATACAGTATATATATATTTTTTATTTTTTTTTTACTACAGCTCAAGTACCCGAGACTTCGTTGCATACAAATGATGCTTCCAATAACAAGTTTTTCAACGATCGTCATTTTCTGAGGGTATCAGAGCAGACTATAAAAACTCATCCACTCACTTGTGTTCACAAAAGCAAAAAATACACACACACACACACACACACACTCTTATCTTCTCGGTATCCAAATTGTCAGTTCCTACATTGTTTTTATTGAAAGTGAAATTTGTTCCTGAGACATTTTTCCAGTTCATGGCGAGCCAGTTAACTTAAAGGCTGAGGCAATCATATCAGCATTTAATAAGAGCCCACGGACCAGTGTCATTATAATAATTAAAGTTATGTATCTATCTGCTTACTAACAACACGTATCTACTTCCTAACTAACACGTATCTCCTTCCTAACTAACACGTATCTACTTCCAAACTAACACGTATCTCCTTCCTAACTAACACGTATCTCCTTCCTAACTAACACGTATCTCCTTCCTAACTAACACGTATCTCCTTCCTAACTAACACGTATCTCCTTCCTAACTAACACGTATCTCCTTCCTAACTAACACGTATCTACTTCCAAACTAACACGTATCTCCTTCCTAACTAACACGTATCTACTTCCAAACTAACACGTATCTACTTCCTAACTAACTCGTATCTACTTCCTAACTAACACGTATCTACTTCCAAACTAACACGTATCTAACTTATCCTTCCTAACTAACTCGTATCTCCTTCCTAACTAACACGTATCTCCTTCCTAACGAACACGTATCTACTTCCTAACTAACTCGTATCTGCTTTAAGCTAACCCGTATCTCCTTCCTAACTAACACGTATCTACTTCCCTGCCAACACGTATCTACTTCCTAACTAACACGTATCTCCTTCCTAACTAACACGTATCTACTTCCAAACTAACACGTATCTCCTTCCTAACTAACTCGTATCTACTTCCTAACGAACACGTATCTCTTTCCTAACTAACTCGTATCTACTTCCTAACTAACACGTATCTACTTCCTAACGAACACGTATCTACTTCCTAACTAACACGTATCTACTTCCTAACGAACACGTATCTACTTCCTAACTAACACGTATCTACTTCCTAACTAACACGTATCTCCTTCCTAACTAACACGTGTAATCCTAACTAACACGTATTCTAAGTCATAACTAACACACAAACATCTGGCGATAAAGTCAACACAAGTAAGGTCACCATGAGTCACCATTAAGAGCAGTGTATACTATAAATGCCACAAAATATACACTGTTTATAGAGACCTCAGGATATCACTCACCATAACAGGCGATGCAACTCATAATGTTCTTACCATGTTAAGGGCCGGGAGTACATGATTTTACACTAACATAACCTAACCTATTCTACCCTAGCCTAACCTAGCCTAATCTAGCCTAACCTAGTCTAGCCTAACCTAACCTAGTCTAGCCTAACCTAACCTAGTCTAACCTAGCCTAACCCAACCTTACATAACCAGTACTAATCTACAGGATAATCGAAAAATTCTTGATGAGCACCTGTAATAATTATCAATATACCTATTTCTTGTTATACCTAAGTAGGAATAAAGCAAAACCAGGTAGATTTGTATTAGTAATTATAGCAGGTGCACAGGGACTTTTCGATCAAGCAGATGGATTAAAAAAAATGGAAAATACGGTAAGGTTTGAAAATACTCCTGTTTGGTTAGATTTTCTTTTATAATTCAAAATCTTTTAATACTTTACAGTCAAACTATTTTATCAAAACATTCAAATTAGTTCTTAATCTATGTGGATAAAATAACGTACTATGATTACATTTCAAAACATTATATGGTATATATATTTTTTTTCAATGTTTATTATAAATAATGAATAAACATCAAAAGCTCCTTTAAAAGTTTATGGTCGGGATATAATTTTCCAAGCAGGTCGAGTCAGTGCACTTTTTGCGTGGCCATAAGGAGACGCCGAATATTGATAATTTCTTTAGTAACAGTGTATGGTTCTCTGTTTCCCCTCCGCCCCGCCTGATGTACCTCTTCTCCATATCACTCTCTCCCCTTCTCTCTATCTACAACCCCTTTCACTATTCTATTATTAATGAATTACCAGCGTCAGCTCCCCCCTCCACCCCTTCTCACTTACCCCCTACTCACCACCCTCCCTCTACCACCACCCCACCCTCTCACCACCACCACCTGCCAACTTTCACCTCCCACCACCGCATCACCACCACCCAGATGGTCACCACACGTCTGTCTCACGCTGCCTCTGTCTCACCAAAACATAACTCAATAAAGGTGGACACATTTTCCATCAGGTAATTTTGCATCTTACAACGAAACGTTAAATATACTACAAAACCAAGAGAGACACTAAGCTATAAAAAAAACCCACGTTGATCATAAAAGAAAGGAAATTATCTGACAAAATTAACACCGTCTGGAAACTGAACGTGGTACATAAAGTCATACTTCATTTTCACTTCCGCTACCACCCCGCCACTCCTCGTCCATGACGCTAGACGTGTTATTACTAATCTGTGTTGTTTTTGTTATTGCCGGTACTTAAAAGACAGGAAGAGGAGATGCAGACGACAGCGACGATACATCTAGTGACTTTGAAAGGGAACACCTCAGAGTGAAGTACGGCACTATGTGTAAAATATCGTCAGTAATGTACAGTTATATATTGCTCCCGTGCACGATGCTAAAACTGCATCATCGTCGGCGGCTACAACTTTCCTGGCTTTCACTATCTATACAATTATGCACATTACTAACTACCCATGCATTACACCGCTTTCCACTGCAGTGGTATGTTTTTCTTTCCACCAAGACCACGACACGGCTAACAGTATATACAGGTATATAGACTTTCCGAGTTCTAAGGCTCGTCTTCCTCACCAAAAGTAGGACAAGTCTGGATGTAAACAAACATTTACCAAGATAAAAGTCCTGAATTTACCGCCAAAACAAGGACGCGTATAACAATAAAAAAATAATAACCGAGATTAAAGGCCTGAGTTTCCCGCCAAAGACAAGGACGTTATCTGACAAAATAAACATTACCTACTTTAGAAGTCGGAGTTTCCCGCAAGAAAGCGACAAAATATAATCAAGGACCTAACGATCTAGGTCGAGTTTTCGTCTAAAACTAGGAAGCGGCTGATGTAAACAAATAAGCACTGCCTGA